AAAGAGAGAGAGAGAGAGAGAGAGGGAGAGAGAGAGAGAGAGAGAGAGAGAGAGAGAGAGAGAGAGAGAGAGAGAGAAGGTGCGAGTAAGAAAAAAGATTGTCGGGCGAACCGATGCAACGAGGCTCGTTGGAATACAAAATCCGTTTCTCGTCATTGAGACGATTATTTTTTGCACCGTCTCGTGACGTCGCGACGCGACGCGACGCGACGCAAGGCAGCCCGAGGCCGCGGCGTTCCATTTTCATCGTAATGGATGGATCCTATAATGGTCGGGCCAGGTTGACGAGTCCGATTAAAGGTCTTTCTCCTTAAAGGTTTCTCGACGTGCCCGTGACTGGATATCGCAAGAAGGCTGCGATAATCGTCTTTTAATGAATGAATGAACAATAAAAAAAGATAAAGCGAGTCCTAGACTTTCTCACAACAAGGCGCACACCGCTTCGTTTACGTCGTTCCGTATAACCAGAGTTCGATCAAAAGTTCGGATCAGGTGTGTCTGTAATAAAAAAAGCCGCGAAATAACGTTTTCTGAAGAGTAACATTACTTTTCAACGTTTCACGTATGACTGTCTTACACATACAGACCGCAGTCGGCTCTTTGAACATCTGGTTGCGATATAAAAAATGCATTAACAAAGCAGAGTTGTGTCATACGCAAGAGATACCAAGTATACGTTCATCACTTCGAAACTGTTTGCAATGCTCTTTTGAGAGAAAAGCAAGATTAAACGTCAGATATAATTTCGACGAGTTTAATTTCTGACGTTATCTGGAAGAACCTTGCATCAAGCGTCGCGTTTTCCTTATTTGCTAGTAAAAGGATCACTATGCGGATGCATGCGATGCCTAAAATACGAATTTAGCGAAATCACTCTGGTGGTGTCCATATCACGGGGAAAAAAAGTTATTTCAGACAGTAAGAACCTATGTGTGGTAGTTGAATCTCGTTTGCAGCATATGTATATCTAAAAGCATAGCTGCTAGTAGACACACACTTAGCTGTGAAACCGATGTAGTAGCAACAGTGGCAACAGTTCGGTTACAGTAGCGAATTGTTAGTAACAAATAATTTTCAGCAAGCCACCACTAACTGTGATTAATCTTCCTTTTTTCCCGTGATCCCTGTTCGAGAACGTCGCGACCGAATTCTTACCTTGCAGCGGCACTTGACGCACTTCATCTCGCCGTGTGAGTGCACTCGAGGATGCCATTCCATGCCATTCTCGTAGGGCCCGCCGACGGGATACTTGCAGCCTCCGGAAGCGAGTATCTCTTCCGCGGTGCGCCGTGTGGACGGTAAGGCCTGATCCCTCGGTAAGCGTGCGGTGTCGTTTATAGCGGCGGCCACGTTGCGAGGTGTCGTTGCCGGGCATTGCCTGCAACAGGCCTTCTTCTCCGGTCTGACGGCGAGCTTCTCGTCGCACTCGAGCGGCGGGCACTGCACCCGCGGGCATTTTACTTCCAACGTGACAGCCTGCGAGACAAATGGATTTCCGATGTAAATTCCGCGACGCGAGAGGTGGTGACTTCGACTTCTTATATTGCGCCGTGCACCTCGCGTGCGCGCGCGGCGCACACACCATCACATATTGTCGCTCTTATTTACCTCACACTACTGTGTACTGTATCTATGCTCCGCGAGAAAAGAAACCAATGTCCACTCTTTTAGTTCTTTCGGTTCCCGTTACGGTCCCCGGAGCCATGGAATTCGTAAACGTACAAAACGACGTGCGCGCTCCGCGCTGACGTGTGAATGATATTTCAGCGGTCGAATAACTATTAATTATATGTAATATACTTGTATATATTCGCATAATTCGACTGATTTTTCGAGATCATTTGAACAATCTATCAAACGTTTACACATAGATCTTGATATTCTTATTGTTAGAAACTGAAGGAGTGAATATTGGATCGCTTCCTTTTCAGAGGAATATGTCGTTCATAAGCAGTCTGCGAGATAAAAGAAACAAGGAAACACTTACATCGCAAGTGCAGACCGCGCAGGTGTCGAATCCCACCGGTGGTAAATACGGATGCCAGGACGATCCTGCTAAATGATATTGTCCAGCCAGCGTGCAACCTTTCATAGTGTTGCTCTTGACCGTGGTGTTATTCGCCACAGTTATCGCTAGAGATATTATTAAATACCAAAATGAAACGACAAGTTCATTCATCGAGGGCTTTCAAAAGAATTTTAAGTGATCAAAATTTCCAAAATTAAAACTGTTTCATAAAATTCTTATTAAACACTTTATTATCAAATAATTCTATTTTTTTCATTAAATGGATTAAGCAAATATGAAGGACGGAAAAAAAGTATGAAATAATGTCCTCACCTACACATATCGAGCAACAATGGCCAGCTACCGATTGTTTGACCTGCTTCCCTGATGTGCAGGAGAGTGCCGGGCAAGGCACCGAGTCACATTGTGGTAAACCGCGATGACAATGGCACATGGAACAAGAATCTGTGTTCGACGTCCACTGCGTGCCTTCTTCATAAAACCTGGTCTCATGGAAGCACGCGCCGGTTTCGAAATCCGACTTGGACGGCTGCAAATTGTACGCCACTACGGAGGCGACGTCATTGTCGGCGTAGTGGGGCAGGCAGCTGAACGGCGCCCTGGCCTTGAAAGGAGCCTTGAGGATGTGACCAGCCTGCTTTTCCGTCACCTCGAGGAAACCGATGCCCGACTCGATCCTGTAAAGTTCCATCGACGACAGCCCCGTAACGGAACCCTCCAACGAGTACCCGGTGAATTCCTCGAGGAGTCTCCTGGCGACGGGAGCACCCTGCGCCAATCGCGGCATTGTCTCCAAGTACAGCCGGAACGTCCTTGGCTCCTGGGAGCTGGACGAGAAACCAGCCAGCTCTAGCTCGTAGTGCAAGGAACAGTCCAAGTCCACCGCGGTCCAAATCAGGCCGACCGGCCCGGAATGAGTCGGTTCTCGATTCAATCTCCGCAGTAACACCGGAGCGGCGGTGTCTCTGGCGTCGGCCACGGGTCTCTCCAACAGTCTACCGCGCAGCATGGAGCCAAGATGGCTCGCGGCCACAACGGAGAGCTCTCCTTTAAAGAGCGGCTCCAAGAGTCTCGGTCCGGGCCGATCCAGGGAACCGTTCGCAAAGCCGCCGACCAACGAAGGCGTCAGATCCTCGAGTTCCATCCTGCGTTTCCCTCCTTCGTCCACCAAGGTCACCAGAGGGCTCTCTTCTTCGAGGCCTATTAACTGAACTCCGTAGCGTAGCGCTCCGATGCGATCCAAGTAGGCCCAAGCCAGTCCGGACGCCACGGATGGCGTTTCCGACAGCAGCAGTGTCTGATACATGTCGCAGGTTGCACGCGGGCCAACTGTGCCGACTAGACGAAGAGCCTGCGGATCTTTCCGGGACATAATACTGATCGACAACTTGCCTCTGGTTAAGAGACGAAGGTCGGCGCCGGAAAGCGCGCTGCGCACCTCGCCGAAGTTGAGTTCGTTCGACGGTTTTTTCACGACCATCTCCTCGCGGAGGACCACATAATCCTTCTCCTGATGTTCTAACTGGACGATCAACGGCACTTCCGCCACGTCATTCGGCAGAAAGAGACCATTGAACACAAGGGAGACGTGGATCGAAGGCGCCGAGATAGACGAAGCGGACACAATAGCTGTGGCTCCCGCGCCGGACATCAAGGACCGATCGACGCCCATCGTCGGCTCTAGCAGAGAGGAGTATTGCTCAGTCGACAAAGCGCGGTACCGCGACAACTGACCGGTTAAGCTCGCCGAAGGCTCCCAGAGGAAGGACACGTGGAGCCGTTCCTCGCGAAGCAATTTACGATAGTCGCGCGGCACGCGCCTCCACACACCGCAGAGCTTGCCGGTGACGTTTTGGTAAACGCCGCCGACCGGATCGATGGCCTGCTCCTCGAGTATGCTGCCGGATCCATCGACGAACTGTATGCTACGTGGTCGGGGCGTCGACGCGGACAGGTAGAACGAGTAATAGAGGTTCTTGCGGTGGAAGGTGAAACGACCGGTCGCCAGGTAGTTGTAGGCGCTGTTGTACACCGACGTCGGGTTCGGATCGTCGCAACGCACCGACTGCGACGTCCTGCCGGTCAAGAGAGTGCCGAAATCTGCAACGCGAAAACCATGCGGTTGAGAGATATAATATTATACTGTGTCGACTGCGTTTCGACTTGGACATCGTCGCGAAATTGACCGGATTATTAAGCGTTTCTCAAGCGCATAAGTCAATGTATCGAGGATGTTTTAAGGAAATCTCTTACGTTTCAGATTTCGCTCTTCCTCCTCTGAAGACAACTGCACTGGCAGATCTTGCACAATGTCTGTACCTGAAACAGAATGTTTGATTCATCGTAAGTATTATGCAAGAAGGTAAAAACGCAAGGTAAAAGTACCAAATCCTGGACATTCTGTTTCTGTTACCTGATCGATTATCAACATTGAGCAATTTTTGCAATCGACTCTCTTGTTAGAGTTATTTGACAAGTGAAAAAAAAAGTAAAATAAATGTACCAATGCTTATATATGTGCTTAATTTTGGATATTTTTGCCATTGTGTGTTTTGATCTTTAAATACAAATATTAAAATTTTCACAGCATAAAATATATGCACACATATATATTAAATATTATATCTTATGTTGAAAGTTCCAATATACATATTTAATTACTAAAACAATAATAATGTTCAGGATCAGAATTGTTTGAGAATTGATACTTTTTTCATCTATATACTAGTATCAAAGAGTCGGTTACCAAAGTTATTCAATGTTAATAGTCGATCAGATAGTAGAAATTTCTGAAAGACGTCACATATAGATGTCCTATTTTCTCATATATTTACAGCCCTCTTTTACCGCCTTTAAGACGACTTGTAGGAGTTTCTGCTACTTGAGCGGCATAAAGCGCCTTGATAAATATTACAGTAGCCGATACGACTTTCGAGTACACCCCGGCGAAGAAAGGGGCCGAATGAAGAAGGAGGAGAGGAGACTCTAAAATCGTAATTTAGCTGCAGCAATCGAAGATCCGCAACTACATTACGAGAAGAAAGCGGAGTCCTTCGTGCTGCACGTCGCGCGCGCGCGAGTCGTCGTTGTATTCGGCTATCCGAGACGGGCAGCACCGCGACGCGCGTCTCTCCTCCGAGACAGGCATTATAATAAAAAGAAGCAGTCAATCGCCAATCGCCGATCGTCGATCCCCATTGAGCCGACTCAGCTACGGCATGTGGCACGGCACAGACCATAAAGAATGTCCGCGCGCGGTAGGAAAAGAGTCGGCTGGCGCCAACCACCGCTACTTTGAATGCTACTTTCATGGCGCATGCCGCGCCGGTTCAACGCCGCGCGGAGACGTTAATTGCCACATACGCGAAACGCACATAGCACGTCTCGAGACGGCTCGGCCAGTCGCACCGGCTAAACCGTTTCCGCCTAACCTCAACGAGTCCGCCGTGCAGTCGAAGCGACCGATAGCGTGGCCTGTCGGAAACGTTAATTGATCATTAGATACAAATGTCGATAATACGATTAATTGCAGGGAATTATCGCAGCGCGCTTATTTTCATACTCACGAGACGCGAATCCGGTGGACATACGTTATGGAGCAAGCAATGGAGTACCGGAATTTGACAAGTGGGACAGCGTATCGAAAAGTCACAATCCCGGAAACCGAATGCCGGGACAATACTGCGAAATATTGTTTTCCCAAAATACCAAGAGCATGCCATCCTTATTCTGAAAAGTCACAATCCCGAAAACAGAGTGCAAGGTAGTGTTGTTAGACGAGTCTCCTTTTCGCGTGTTGAATGTAACGTGAAGGTGGCATCAGTAGAGTACGTAATTTAATTGTTTAAAAGTGCTGTATGTGGCGCCAATTTGGATATTCCTAAAGAGTTGTTTACAAATTTTCGAAGAATTGATAAGAATCTATTTATTTATTCTTCAGTGACATCTGAGAATTCTTCTGTTGGATAAGACAGGTGGACAAAAAAGTGTTGATTTTTCGAAACTACGCATGTCCATCGCGAATTTCCACAACGCGTGGTTCTTCGCGATCACAAGTATCATTGGAAGTGTTCGAAATACGCGCGCTGTAAAAATGGCGGTGAAAAACGTCGGCACTAGCGGTCTCTGCCGTCGAGCCTGTGGGTCTGTTCTTTTTAGCTGAACTAAGTCGCACTTTTTGCCTCCAAAAAGAGACAAGAGTATAGCGTAGCGAAGGGAAAGGGAACGAAGTTGCAGTGCGGCATTAGTTCAAGTTAAAAGAACAGGTCTTATGTGTTGGTAGCTTACGTTTTTACAACAACTGTTGTTGGTGTTACCGAAAGCTGTTACCTTGGCTGACGTCGTTTCAACGAAGGACGATCGTTATTCAGGATTAAGGATTTACTGAGAAGGGGAAAAGAGATCTAAATGCCAGCTAACCCCGCTGGCTATTGAGGCCGAGCGACACAACGAGCGATTCATAAAGGTATCGAGCCGTTTCGATCGGTTCTTTTGAATAACCTTTTGAATAACCTGACACTCTCCGATTCGTCCCCTCTCTCTACTTCTCTCTTCGGATTACACGCTTGGTAATATCTAATTTCGTCGTGCGGGGTTCGGCATTTACGTGCAAATTGTAATCTATGTGCACGCGTAGACAATGTAAACTGTGTATAAGATGCCGTCCGTGTAAACAACGAGTGATCTATGGATATCGTTCAAAGAACGCATTACCCCACACAGCACAAGATTTAAAAGATATCCCAAAGATATCCAGAGAATTGTTAAATGTCCGCATAAGTCCTCAGAATATCCTAAAAATATTCCGAGGACTTCTAAATGTCCACACAAGTCCCCAAAATATCCCTTCAAGATTTTGTGCTATGAGGAACGGCTTGCTAAAAAATTAATTAAGAAAATTGCACATTTTTTAACTCTTAAAATTCTGATGTAAATGTATGAATGTTATTTCGCAAATAAGAGTTAGAGTTTATTTCTCATTCACATATTTCTCTGGTCGTATTCTCACTTAAAGAGAATTAAATCTACCGATTTGTCACGTGATAAAATAAAAAGCAATTTTAAGCAATTTCTTTCAAACATTATTACATTTGTATAATTAATACTCAAACAATTACGATAACCGTCTCATGATTTAATTACTCTTTTTTGTATATTTTAATATAATCTGCAGTGTTCTACATCACTTGCATTGTCTGTACGTGACAAAATGCGCAGATAATATGCGTAAAACGTGATCTCGAAATCTACGGCACGAATCTTGGTCGTCGTGTCTACTAGCTCCGCAATAGGACGATTCTCAAACTTTGTAACGCCGATGGCGCCGGCATGGTGTGCGTCGCGTTACGCAGCTTTTTTACCATATATTATACCTGCACAACGGCAACGCAACGACACTGTGTCGTGACAAGTTACAGAATCGGCCTGCAGAGAGCGAAGCTTGATTTTTCGTGGTGGCGCGGCCGACGCGGGATCGACGAGAACCAATGAAAATCGATGCGACGGGCCAATCGACGAGCCAGGGGTCGCAATATGTTTCCCGGCGGGACGTGAAAGGAAGGCGCTACTAATTGCGGTCGGTTTCACCTTTCATCAGCAGGGGCCAACGAGCCCTATCAGACGGCGACAACTACTAATACTACGACAACGGTGACGACGAGGAGGAGGAGAGCGACGGCGGCAGCGGCGGCGGCGGCGATGATTATTATGGCGACGTAAGCGAAATGCTCGACGAGGAGGTAAGGAGTAGAGGAATTCGACGTTGCAGAAAAAGACGTCAAGTCGACGCGCGAGCGTTTTATCGGGACGCATGAAGACGCGAATGTACGTAGGGCAGCGGGTCGATCAAAAATCATTCGCTCCTCCACGCCTTCGTCTTCACTGTCGCCTCTCGGCCCGTTCGGACGGCGAATCGCGACGGAATCTCGAGTCGCCTTCGTGAACCGGCGATGTGCGCGCGCTTTATCAAAAGTGTCATATTAACCTAATTGATAATACGTGTACGTTTCGCCTCGCCATAGCCAATTGCTGCGCGACATGGACGCGATCGTAAAAAGTGGTAACGAAGCGCGTCTCGATTTATTTGGCCGCTCCGGGCAACGTTGACAAGAGGGAGAGAGGCAGAGAGAGAGAGAGAGAGAGAGAGAGAGAGAGAGAGAGAGAGAGAGAAAGAAAGAGAGCGCGCGCGATTACGATTTATAAACGATTCGTGCATGAGAACTGCTCGCTGCTTCTCCCGCGCTGTTCTCTCTCTCTCTCTCTCGCCGTTCGATCTCGTTTTCCTCCGCCATTTACCTTCCCCGCCATCTCGCCTATTCTTATTCCCGGGCGCGTTATGCCTGATCATTACGTATGCTAATATTTACATTTAGATTGCACGACTTAATCGAAGTGACGCCATGCGGTAATATAACCGGCGCCATGGCGTTAAACCGTGGCGTCCGTCCTCACCGTCTCTCGCTCCGCTCTCCTCTCACCCGCGATTACTCTCGAGTTCCCTCTCGAGAGCGTGATCGGCCAACCTTCTGACCATGTCACCCCTCTTTCTCTTTTTTTTTTTATATCCGCCGATCTCCCTTTTCTCCCGCTGTTTGTCCCGGTCTTTGTGCACTCTGGGCGAATTGTCTCGTCCGACCTTCCCTCTCGTTTCTCCCTCATCCGAGTCCCTCTCGCGTGTAATCCTTTTATTCTCCAGTTATCCTTATCGAAAATACATGAGCGAGTGCAGTGACCGAGCGCGCGACGGTGAAAGATCGTTCGTGGCGTGTGTATACAGTCGGGGACTAAGAGATAGTTTTTGGGGTGAGTTTATGAATTCCTCATCTTGTCCAATGGGAGAATACTCTCGTTGGATAAGGACGAGTTCACAAACTCACTCCACGAATTACGGGTAACCGTTTAGTAACTCGACTGTATACAGAAGAACAATTCTATCAGTATAACTGAATTTTCCGTTGTCTGCTGAGAATAAGGATGAGGGTAGAAAGGTCGATTGTAGAAACAGGCAGATTCCTGCAGGAGAATTTCTTAGTCGACCTTCTGACTATGTCACCCGTCTTTCTCTTTTTTTTTTTTATATCCGTCGATCTCCCTTTTCTCCCGTTGTTTGTCCCGGTCTTTGTACGTTTCCAGTTATTGCAATCAAGTTTCGAAACAACTGAATGTTTAGACAAAAGTTTAGACGACCATTGAAACATTCACTATATTTCTAATGAAATTGACTACGTTCCTTGATACGATAGACCTTGCTGACTATTCCTGGACCAGTCTATTCCTGGACTATTAAAAACATCGAGTAAAATCGACAAGAACTTATATAAGGAAAAAAGAAAATACTGTAATATTCTCTTCGTGTAGGAACAGGAAAATCCTTGTAGGAGTTTTCTGTCGAGTCAATCGTTCTCAGTTATTGCAACCAAGTTTTAACACAGCTGAACGCTCAGGCAAATGTTTTCGGTTGCGGTAACAGAGATATCGTTTCACGTCGTTGAATTTCTGTCTGGTCCCTCTATTACACGAAATGCGGTCAGTTTTTTCCCCGCGTAGGAAGCTGAACGTTGGCTCGATTTGCAACGAGCAATCTCGTTCTCTCTCTCTTTTTTTTTTCTTTTTCGGCATCAGAAACAATTTGCGCGCGATAGGTACGAAGCGTTTGGCGATACTATCGCTGTACCTCGAAGCGGAGCGTTTCCGTGCCAATTCGCGCTCATTACCGTCGACTGTGCGCGCTGCGCGCTGACCGACGCACGCGAACCTTATCTGGCGGCCTTATCAGTGCGAGATATACTACTTTCACTGCATCTTACGGCGGCGGCGGCCAAATTCTTGGAGCGCGCGCGCTCCTCTGCGCGCCGCGGCAAGGCGCGTTCTATTTCCCCTCGCGGATCTGTCCGTATCGGCTGGTCGCGGCAGAGAATGCGGATGGAGTAAATCGCATAGTCCAGATACTCGAACCCGTTCCTTTCTCGATGATATTCCAGCGAAAACGAAACAACGAAGGCGATTGCGCGTTAACGCGAGACGATAAGCGCGCGAATCTCGTCCGTCTCTTTGATCGGCCGTCAGGTTTTTTCCTCTCTTCAATCCAATAGAGAAGGAGGATTGTCAGAGAGAGGTAACGGGTCGGTAAATAATGGGGTATGTCGCGTTAACTTACTGAAGTCACCGGGACACGATTTGCAGCATCGACCTGGTAGTAGAACTGGTTCGTCGCACGTGAGTTGGGAACATTCGTTCTTGATGTTGCGACATTGCACTCTCGCGACGATTCGCTTCTTCTTTTGCACCTGAAAATAGAAACAATGATTGAACAATCGCTCGGTGAAAAGCAGGAGCGCGCTAAACTCTTTACTCGCGTGGTGTAGTCTTCGAATCTCAAACGGGCATACATTTGCTTTCAAGGTTTGAGAGCACTTTTTTCCGATGCAATTCGGAACGCAGTCGATGATTCAGTAAGAGAACTTGTGTGTATGTGTTTCATGTTAATCCAGAAGTTATGTTCTCTCTCGCTGAATCATTGATTGCGTTTCGAGTTGCGTGAGAAAAAATGTTCAAACCGTTTTGTGAAATCTAACTAGGAGAATAAAATATCCAATTATTAATGATTAAGGAGGATCAATAATTGGATATTTTATTCTACTAGTTAGATTCCATAAAACGGTTTGAGCGATTTGAACGGTTTTGAGTTGTCAATGATTGACAGTCTAAAAAAACCCAATGTTCCTTGCGAGCGAGAACTGTTGCTCGCAGTTTCAGTTATAAAGTTCTCTTTTGGAGTCATCGAGTGCAAGCAAAAGAAACTGAACTGCAATTCTGGTCGCAAGAAAAACTAAGTTTTTTTTTTTGTAGTATCAATGATTGAGGGAGTGCGAATAATCGGATGTTTTACTCTACACGTTGGATCGGAATCCAAGGGAAAAGAAGCGCGGTGCAAATTTTTCGGGAATCGGCTTCGGATTCTCCGTTTTGCACGCGACTTTATCTTCAGCTTCACTTCGGCTACTAGCCTGCATCACTTTCTCGGGCTCGTCTTGACGCGACGGAACAGAGGGAAAGACGGGACGAGAGAAAATCAACGGGCAACGCGGAATACAGTGCGCGCGCGACTGCTAAATCTGCAGCGCGAATCGTTGCAGTTGCAAGAGAGGAATTCAGCCGCGCGCGAGCCTTGCAGAAACCGCAGAGCGGCATTCCCGAGGTGGCGCGAAACGCCACATTCGACGTTGACCCCCCGACGAAAGGAAAGGACCCGCGATTAATCGGCCGGGTCGCACGACGCCGTAAAACGTATCGCGATACCGGCAATGCCGCGAATGCGCGCGGATGACGGGCCTGTTGACTCTCGTCGGGTTAATCGGCATCCTCATAAATCCACGTCATTAAGGGCTTCTTATGGCCGTGTTGACTCCCGTCCGACAAGGGGCGACATTACTCCGGCGACTTTAGGTTACATGGCTTCTCTCACAGCGACGTGTGATTCACGCGACGCGTCTGCTTCTTCCACAACGAAGACCGCGACCTATCAATAGCTCCTCGTGTACACTGAAGAGGGACTGTCATTCCTCCGAAGTCTAAAAATAGAGGTCGCGATCGCGTTCGCGTCCACGAGCCGAACGTAACACAGCGTGCCGCCGCAGCGTCTCCGCTCTCTTGCGTTTCTGTTCCATCCCTCTTTCCCCGGTCGGAGAGATCGAATGTAATATATCTTTCCAGAGGGAAGAACTTCAATTGAGATAATATAACGAACGGCGCGATTGTAAATCGTGCGCGCAAAAAAAGCGTGTTTTTGAGGCTCTAACGGCTACTGATCAGCCTGATTTGTCTTTATTTGTCGGAAGAATAACAAATGCTCGGTGTGTGTGTGTGTGTGTATATATGTGTTAGGGCGAACAGCATATTAAATTGTCAAGGTTATTGATATAAACGAAAAATTCACCCGAGCACTTTTCCATTGATCAATCGAAGAAGAGCCGGTGACGCGGCGAGTCGGCGCGTAAATCCAATAGCAATCATTGTTTACATTTAAGCGTTTGTTTACCAAGGTCGAACGTTGTCCTATTCATAAACACTAGACCGATCATCGGTCTGCGAACCGCGTGCCGTCTTGAAAACACGTTCACTTGAAACGCCAACGGCGTGTTCGTTTCGGATAAATCTGACTCGAGTTTTCGTTGGAATCCACTTTATGATTCTCGTGAAAAGGCGAGTTGGCTTCAATCGAAAGTGCCTATTCTCTCCTCGCGATAGCTTCTATTATTAGCCCGCGTTATGAGATAAAAAAAAACAAACTGAATCGTTAGACTCTGTGGACTTTAACGACCTACGAGGCATTTAATGACATCGTGTACGTAATGATCGTGCATCTCTTCTTGCGACTGTACGATTAATTTTCTCTTCTCAGTAGGCTCATCGGGTATCGTGTTTCATTAGCATTTACCGGCTATTTATCGTGCGCGCGCGCGCGATTGCAACGTTTGGCGCAGTAAATTCTTCAATAATTCCATGGAATATTTTTAACATTAACGTGCGCTGATATCTTTTTAGCAATTACCGTGCGATGAATGAAGCTTCTAGAACTCGATTTGATGTTAAAAGTGTCTGTTAGATTAAATTAAGTCGATTTAAAGTAACGAGTCGGTTTGCTTGCTATATAAAGTCTAAGCCAGTTTTGATAAAGTTTTACAATATTTTTATAAAGCAAATAAATTCTTCTTACAAGATATTGAACTTCCTTAAAATTTGTGATAAATATATTTCAAGATTGTTATAAAAAAAATATTCTTTATTGAAGATAATTATTGCTCAAAAGAAGGAAAGTAAATTGAGTGATCTTAGCAGTAGAACAATATTTTTCTGTGTGCATTTTTATTCAGTTCAGAGAACAGAGACATAGTGTTAGCTTTAATCGGAACATTTTCTTTCTTTTTCAGATTTGTCTCTCAACTCGTTTGCGAAACGTTTTTTTTTCTCTCGACATGTTGTCGAACGCGACGAGATGTTCGGGACGCGATTGTTTACATACGATTCGCGAGTGTGCTCCCGAAGTGTCGAAGTTTATCGTACTTCTCGTTAAATCGTCAAATGATCGCGGTCGCGAGTGCAGTAAAGTGAAATGAGTGATCGACGCGGGACGTCGACTGGATTATACGTAGAGGCTGGATGTTGAGGACTTGGACGGCTAGACGTCGTGGGACATCAACGCGAAATGGTGAGTAAACAGAATATTCGCGAAGCATATATATTAGTGCATATTGGGACTTGAGGTCTGTTCTTTTTAACTGAACTGTCTGAACCGGTGCGGACTGATACAATAAGTTCGAGTGAAACAAGATTTATTTGTCCCACTCTGACTTATTATACCAGTGTGCACCAGTTTAGGCAGTTGAGTTAAAAAGAACAGATCTTTATTAAATGGCGTGTAAGTCTGTGAATATTTAATTAACATGTTGCATGAGTTTGGAATGATTTTAGTGTATTGAGTAGAATATAAGGAGTGGCGTAGCCAGAACAAAATTTCGGGGAGGGAGGCTGTACTTTTTATTTTTGACGAACAGAAAAAAGGTCATTCAAAAAAATTTTTCTCACATTTAGTATAACCCAGAAAATTAATTTCGGGGGGGGCTGCAGCCCCCTTAGCCTTCCCCTTGGCTACGCCACTGAGGGGTCAGATGAAGAAAATTAAGTAGGAATGAGTGCGTAGATAATGTATAAATGAAGACAAAATAAGGCGTTAGATAGGAAAGCAGTATTCAGGGCGGAAAAACTGCATAGGTAATACAGGTTATGGTGTCATGAGGAGCGGGTAGTTCGGGCAGTGTAGGTAATGCAGCAAGCTAAAATTAGTATATATAGTAATACAGAGAAAATTATCGACAGAGTAAATGTATAAGTGGTAATAGGAGACAAAAAAAAAGAGAGAAGAGATGTAAAAAATAAAGAAGAGGAATGTTTGATCATTTGATAGGGAAGCGAAGTAAAAGTATATAAAAAAAAGGATGACAAACGAACTTGTAGGATAAGCGTTGTGCAAAGAATAAGAGGAAGATTTTGAGGATATGGAAAACTTCTTGGCAATGTAAGCTGCAGGAGACATACAAGAAGTGAAGAAAATGACAGAGGAACTACACAATGCATACTTAGACGTAAATCGTACCGATTGTTGATGAGAAAAGTTGTCGTGCAAATATCTTGCGTTTCACAACAGAGATTAATTAGAAAAGATTTCAGTAGTAATTTCTAAATTATTATTCACTAAATTATCCGGAGATTTTTTGCCTCGTTAGAGTTATTATAGTCATTTCGACCAACGACGACGACGTGACGTGTTTTGCGCGAATATTCGCGAGTTAATATGTCCCCGAGTTTGTCGCGATCAACTTCGAACGGTCCCGGAATGACGGTCTCTGGTGTTTCGTCATTTGATACATTAGCTTTATGCCGTAATATCGTAGTATTTATCTAATCCAGACACACGAAATTATATATCACAGGAGACGCGAACAAGGTACCGTAATTATAAGCATGTGCGCGACGCAATGTGCTCTTATTTCTGTTATATCTGGGCATTGATAGAAACTTACTTTATTCCCTCTTATCTGGTTTTTTTTTGGTGTAAATAACATTTTATGGGACTCGTACGAAACATGAGTCGGCAACATAATGAGGAGAAAAGAAAAACGTAATCGGGGACGAAAAATCATAATAAGTACCCAGGCGTGATTATAGCATATCCCTCTCGACAATAAGCTCGAAGGCAAGGGAGATAGATAGAGGCTTCAGCCGCGCGAATCGTATATTATTCTTTATTCATGTATGTTAATAAATTCCGGCGACACTGATTGTTTACTAGAAACATTATGGGCGCGTGAAGCACGACGTATGCGAGGCGTCATGTGTATCATTTTAACGCAAGTGCAATTGACGGTGTAATCTTAAGCTTTGCGCGGCAATCCTCTCGCGCCCAGTTTGCTCCCTTTGTGTCTGAGAATTCGCGAACCGTTTACGACGCGGACGATCGTGGTGAGTTATACTTTCTTTTTCCACACGCATACATGCATCACTGTAATACGTACCGGTACGCACTCGCACTTGATGCAATACATGACTCCGAAGGGCGGACCCAAATCCGCGAACCACGTGGTGCCCAGCTCGCGAATCTGCTTGCCGAAGTTGCATTCTGAAATCAGAGGAGCAATCAATTGTTGACGTTATCGTTGCGTGTTATACAAAACTTGTAAATTTAAACGTCGTCTGGCGATGTCTATCCTTTCGGTTGTGCACGGACGAAACGATTCCGTTAGTGTTACTGAATTTTCTGTTAAATTTGAGGAAAGCTCAATTACTCAATTACAGATGAAAAACTCGGTTGTATACGGAGAGAATAATCTAATTTCTTTTCATGTAAATTTTCTCTTCACACAATTTTACTACGCTTTTGGCAATTCATTTCTTTCTCTCAGTGTAAAGTCCATCTTGCTAAGCAACACAATAAATTTCGCTAGAAATGTAGCAAATTTTGTAATAGTATATTTCAGTTCCTCGTAAAAGTAAAGAAAAAAAAGTAGCACATGAAAGGATAGTCAATCACGACAGAATGTCGATCTATTACTCGCTTACAAAACTTTACAATAATTTTTGCTATAAAACTCTTCGTGTGGAAATAGAGATATTCCTGTAGCAGGTTTCCATTCTGCCAATTGCTTCTAGATATCTCAGTTGTTATCTAAACTGAGTTTCTATGGAGCTGAATGTTCAGACAAATGTTTTCGATCACAGTAACAGAAATATTATTTCTCGTCAGCGAGTTTTTCGCTTAGTCTCCATTCAGTTAACCAAACTGGAAATTTTTTCCTCGTCTAATTTTACCGTCAAAAAAGCACAAGTGTAAATTACTTTTCACACAGCATAGTTTTGACGATGTAACGAAACGGAAGGCATTGCAAACTTCCTCTAACGATTCTGTACAATATGCTGCAAGAGGATATTTATTATTTGAGATATTTGTAAGATTAGCGAAATTACGCTGTGTGTATGTGAGGAAGATTGTTTAATCTATTGTTCCCTGCAACCTTTTAACGGTGCAACTGTAAACACAACGGCACGCACAATAAACAGTCGCGATCGAGAGAGATACTAATATTTTACTAACATGGTGATTGCAAAGTTCGCGCATAGGTGAAAAGGGAAGAGACACTTTAAGGTGCAAACACGGCGCGTTGTTTCCTCACCGACGCACTTCCGCTGCCATCATCGATGAGTCGGTCGCAAATTGAAACGAGTATAACGTAACGCGATCGGTATGTACGTTGGCATCGCACGCATATTCATTTGCATTCGCTGATAATATGCGTCGCGCGTTCATTCAAAGTTTCAAACCGCGATTAACCGTCGCCGAGCGGTGAGGCAAGGTGCCGTAAGCGTTTTATCTTACAATTGGACATAGAAATGCAAACGCGTTCAAGTACGAACGTACGGCTGTATACCCGACTAATTAATACGTGTCACTCACAACGCCGTCGTAGTCTGTCTCAAAAATCGAAAGTAATGAAGCAATTTCGAGTGCGCTCGGTGCAGCAATGTGTAAAAAACGAAAGGAACCCGGAAGAATTCAGTGTGCAACATTGTGACCTAAAGAAATAGCGAGAGAGAGTGCGAGAGGTTTAAAAGCATAGTGGAACAAAAAGTAGACTACGATTTGTTGTGTATGCAGTTAATTGTGAAGCTAATAATATGTAATCGAGTACTCAGCCAGTTGCAACGATTTCATGCTTATTTTATAGCAGGCAATTTTTGAAAATCACACGAACACAATTGACTATAGTTATACAAGAATGATTCAATCCACAAAATTGAATTTTTTTTAGCAATGAGTAGTCCATACGTTTTTCTATATAAAACAGTTTTTATTTTCTATCGATTGCACCATTTTTATTAGTTACGTCTTTTTTTCTATTTTTTTTAAAGCTGATCAATAAATATGTCTTTAAAGAGTAGAAAATTGATCATGCTTGACTTTTTGAACGAAGAATCTCAGTGCTATTGATCTTTTTTAAATTATGTGTCAAATTTTCATCTTCATTTTTCTCGAAATATCATACTACTTCATATGCGTTGGATCATTCTTGCATAACCATAATTCCTCTCTCTCTCTCTCCCCCCTCTCTCTCTCTTACATATTTTCTTTAATTTCAAAGATTCAACAAAGTGCGTGCGTGCGTGCGTACGAGGGTGCGTGTATGCGCACGTATGGGAAAGAGAAAGAGGGGCGAGCGGGAAGGGGAGGGGGGCGCTTGGCCATGCGCAAGTTAGGGAAAGGGAAATGGAGAGGCTCGTTTTGCACGAGGGCATTGCACCGCGCGCGCGCGCGCTAAGTCGTTCTAATCGCAAAGCCGGCCCTAAGTAACTAGAAGAGTCCAAGAGAGCCACACGCTAGTGCATCGAAAATATGCGAGTCACGCGGCGTAGTACGGTGTAAAAGGTGAATCGCATAACTCACTCTCTAGCAGCGCTAGAAACACGACCGGTGATGTGTTTCCCGCTCCGCTTTTCTTCCGTTCCCGTCGATGTCGCGATGCCTTGTTCGGGCAACTTCGCGCCCACGATGTGAGACGCAACTTCAGCGCGTTCTTGCAGGGTGAAACGCCCAATTATCAACATTCCCTTGGTTACTGACACTTTAGAAAAAAAACCTAACTTTCCTGCGACTTCAATGTTGCAGTTGAACTTTTTTCCTGCACTCTGTGCTCTCAAAAGAATTGAAACTGCGGACTACTGTCGCTGGTCGCGGCAGAAGTTTTTCAAAACTGTCAATGACAAAGAGAGATTACTAATTGGGTGCTTCATTCTGCATACCTCCGAAAGAAACAAGCCGATGTATGTCAATTTTTTATATACCGTAAAGTATTATAAAGAAATCTTAACATTCGTAAACGCATCTCAGACAACCCGAAAATTTCATACTTTGGAAATCTAAGATCCTAGATTTCGTTTTCCCTGACCACGCTGCAATAATATTCAAAACGCATAATTAACATAACCGGAGCGATCTCAAAATGTTGACGAATTCTAAGATTTTAATAAACCTTTAGAATCATGCAATATCGTTAGCCTTAAAACCGGTGGAAACGGGCATTGGCATTTTTCTCTCGAAAACTCAGGTAAAACTCAGACAAATGTTGCTAGCCCGATAGTTATTGTTTTTTCAACTTCCCTTACTACTCTAGCTTCTAAACACGACGACCAGAGCAACGAGTCTCGCAACGCGGATTCCACCGGTCTAGAATTAATAGTGGCGCTTCGCGATCTCACGGCCGACCGTGTATTCGCAACTCATTCGCGCGTACTGTTGCCAACGGACGAAGGGAATTTCTCCTCTCCGCCGATGTTTAAGCACCATTATATCATCCGTATCGCATGGGCGAGAAAATACGGTGAAAACTGTCGGATTCTGCCCACACGCCCACTAAATATATCGTCTCGCCGAGAGTGTCCGCAAACAAGACGTATCTGGTGCGCATTTTTTAATGGTGCGCGCGATCGCGATTCATGTGGCCATGTTGCTTTCGCACGATATCAACCGGTAATCATCGCTCTCGCTCAATCAAATTGGACGTAACGCGAATGCGCTCGGAACATTGATTTTAGAAGCCGACTGAAAGAGAGAGAACAAGAGAAAGAGAGAGAGCTGAACCGCGCACCCTTCTTGCATACTTTCGTTGCGAAAAGTGTCGCAAGCGCGCTCGCGCGTCCTCGCTCGCTAATATAAATAATACGAGCGTGAAAAAAGAAGCAGAATGCATCGGGCCGTAATTTGCGAGATGGTTAAGCGAATGGCAAACACGTGCCGTGCTATCGTTTTTTCGTCTCTTCACCTCCTCCCTTCACTCCACCTCTCCTTGCTTCTGTATCTCTCTCAGATGGATTTACGAACTTGTGACGTTTATCCGTTCCTCGCGCCTCTCTTCCGCCTCTTTCTCGTGCTTTTCCTTTCGTCAGTATCTATCCGTTCGTCTCGAGTTTCACCTTTAGCATCGTATTCTCTTTCTCTCTCTCTCTCTCTTTTCCTCTCTCGCTTGACATGTGATGCAGAGCACACGTAACGACAGTTATCCCACTGCGTAGCGATGCTTGTTAAAGAGCATCGTGGTACAGAGGGGAGGAAAGATAATCGGGAGAAAGTGGGGCGAAACAAAAGTCGCGAGCATCTCGCAACATTCGGAAATGAAGAGAAACGTCTTCGTTCCTTCTCCCATCGACGATGGAATAAAGACATTTCTTCTCTCTCTCTCTCTCTTTTACTTTCTTCATTTCTTCCCGCATCGACGGCGGAATGAAAACGTTTCTCTTCACTTGTTCTACCGTGCGCGACGACGGGTCACTGGCAAGACGGCACGGCCAAAAAGAGAATCTCCCCGATCTTGCACGCGGCGGCGGACGCGCACGGGTATAATGCGAATTCTCTCATTAATAGTACTTGGCATTACGTTCGTAATCGGCGGTAAATTTAATGTCGAGCTTTTCCGGAGAAGAGAGCGTCGAAGCGACATATTGCGCGAGCTATTGGCGTCTATTGGCGCTCTATAATTACACTTAGATTCTCTCAGGAAGAGGTATTAAACACGTCGTACGCGTCACGTGGCACATCTTGCGCGCGCGTCACGGATGTCGCGCTTTATGTAACGCGCCGTAAAGCGACCGCTCGAGAACGCTTACGGCGCGCTCGCGGCGTCGTCGTCGTCTGGACGGCAAGACAAAACCCTTTTGCATCCTCGCGTCGGCGATGCGTGCGACGAACGCCGACTTTCTCGCGATATATACCGTGTCTCTCGCGTGTTTTTAGCGCGCGCGCGCGCCGCGCGCGTGTTTTTAGCGTCCTCGCTGAAAGCAGCCGGACACGTCGGCGGCAATACGGTGTCGTCCGATCGTCCGTTTATTATGTATGCGCGAACCGCGCCGCTGATATCTGTCGGCATGCAGATTTACGTGAACGGCAGTATGAATACGAGAACGAGTCGAGTTCTCTCTTTTTCTCTGCCTCTCTCTTTGCCTCCTTTTTTTCTTTCTAATCTGTTTGATATCTCGTCGAGTTTTGCTTCATTTTGCTCGCGCGATATCGATTAGTTTTATCTTATCCGGGTCAGGTAGGGCTGTAGGCGAGTAAAAAAAAGCCCGACCACG